CGGCTTTCTTCAGATGGCTGTCTTCTTAGTCAGTAAGCTTCGTGGAATCCGAACTGAACATTTTATTCGATATACAGATTAGTTGGTTGAATTTCTTTAGAGGCGCATGAACACTTCTATGGGTTATTTAATGCCGAAATCTAAATATCCCGCACGCTATTTTATGTTTTCAACTACAGGTATTTTGCCCATAATTTTATACTCTCGATGTAAAAGTATGTTTTGTAGATATATAGTTTACAGATTATAAAATGTATTCTTGGATAATTTTACTATAGAAATATATATATATATATATATATATATATATATATATATATATATATATTCATGAATCATTCATACAATAAAACAAATAGAGAGGTTAATGATTTAGATGGCGAGAATACATCTTCGCAAACAATATCAAAAAGATGCACCAACCCCGAACCTGTATATGAATGATATGATCCCTGTTTATAAATTCCAGTTACATAAGGTCTTTTTAATTTTTTTACAAGCTTTCGTCTGTTCCTACAGACATCCTCAGGTATAGAAATAGATTTGTTCTTGTTTTTACTTCACGGTAATAAGAGGACAACGAAAATAGAGATGTAATCCGAAAAAATGCTATGAGAAATGTGTTATTGTTTTGTAATATTAGTGTTGCATTGATTGTAATTTAGCTATAAAAATATATTGTTGGTCATTTTATTCTAAAATGTAGTGTTTTCTTGTTTGGGTGTATACTATTTACCCATAGCTGGGACCTTAACAGGTGCTACCACCCCGGATCAGGGTGGACCTGGGAATAACAGAAGTTAAGAGTTAGTCCCACCCTCCTAAAACCTCCAATCTTCCGTGGTAGTTTATCGTCATACTCAGGACGCCTTTGCTTAGGGGAGATAACTCATATCAGTTAGGGGAGATAACATTTCAGTTAGTACTCACCAGTTTTTATTCACTCTGCCATGTGTTCTCAATAAAGATAAGGATAAAGGCGTTAGTTAGATCCAGTGACAGGACCCAAAGAGTGTGAGTTCAATACCCGGTTAAGGCAGTGGAGAACTTGGAGAGGGAAATTAACAGGAGATAACTGACAACTGACATCCATTAAAAACTTGGCATGTGGAACTAGAACAGTCTCCTCCAGTGAGCGAAATAAAGGGATTCGAGATTCCAACCACTTGAAGAAGGCACAACGGCCGAAACGTTGTGATAAATATGGCAACAGAGATGAGGACAATAGTCCGAATAATGTAAATAGTGTACATAATACCTCATCTCAGAAATATAGACAGATACTGAAAGGCCGAAACATTGTGATATATATGGCGACAAAGATGAGGACAATAGTCCGAATAATGTAAATAGTGTACATCATACCTCATCTCAGAAATATAGACAGATACTGGAGTTTTATTCATCTCTACATCGCTTAGCATTTTCTTTTATTGAACAAGTGTGTGTGTGTGTGTGTTTTTTTTTTCAGCACTGACAGACCCATAGATTGAACCCACAATTTGTGGATAAAACAAAAGGTTTGGTTCGAAATTCCAAGAAGGTTACCGAGTACTCAGGCAAACACCTGAAGGATGAAGGCTAGAGGGCTAAACAGTCGAAACGTTGTCAGTATAATAACCAAGATGAGCGTGAAAATATGAATTCCTCATCTAAACAATTCCGACAAAAATTTATACAACGTTGATTCTTTTTATTTTTCTCTGAACGCCCAATACGCAGCCATCTTTTATTTTAATTTATTTTTATTGCGTTTACACCGTTCGTAATGCTTTCTTCAATGATTAACGCAATAATAAGTTCAAGATAATATTAAGGCGTAGTTTTTATCGACTGTAATTAATTGAGAGCACAGACCGTGTTTCTTTTATCTTTTCTACAGTAAATTCCTCTAAAGGGCTTGGATTAAATTAGCTCTTAAAGAACGCAATTTCTGCTGAGTGTATGTTCGTTATTGCGTTACTATTGTGTGACTATTGAGAAAGATATAGAAAAATGAGCTACTTGAATGTTTACTCACTAACTTCTCCATCAAGTATTATGTCATACAAGGCAGTTTTGTCAACGCACTTGATGATCAAACAAACCGAAGAGGCGAGGATTCGTACCTTTCGTAAGGAGATTAGGATTAAATAAGCACTTAATTGGGTTTTGCCGGTTAGTGTAACGGATAGTGGTTCAGAAAATGGAATCAGTGAATCAAGTTCAAATTCTAGCCTCGCCTGTTGCATTTACTCGTGCACTAATTCCCTTGCTAAAGGCATAAATCCTTGTCTTGTCCTTCCTAGCTTATTAACAAGGAAGACTAGCTTTTTATAGATTTAGGTCGTAACCACTCCAAGAGAACGAAAATTTTGAATTCCAAAGCAGATGAAATGAAACCACTCCACTATCTTTCTCAAGAAAATGAGAATTCACAGATAATGTAAAAGGAAGCTATGGAGAGCCATGATCTAAGTTCTGAATGGATAAGTTATGTGCCATGCGTGATACAGGCATAAGGCACCTTTCAATACATGACTAACGAGGCAGATTTTTTTCTCACACCAGGTTGCCATTTCTTTCTGCGGTAAACCAGTTACCATTCAAGGCTATAGAACCCAGTCTATCCTCAAGGACACATGGCACAGTGGATAAAGACGTTAGTTAGATCCAGTGACAGGACCCAAAGAGTGTGAGTTCAATACCCGGTTAAGGCAGTGGAGAACTTGGAGAGGGGAATTAACAGGAGATAACTGACATCCATTAAAAACTTGGCATGTGGAACTAGAACAGTCTACCCCAGTGAGCGAAAGAGCTGGAGGGAGAAGAAGAGGATTCATACCTTTCGTAAGTTAATGTAATAGATTCCACTGGAATACGAACTCGGTTCACCGATTCCTAAATCCGAGCCGC